CATCGCGCCGACAAGATGCCAGAATGCTGCGGAGGTCGCCACGGTCCATGAACTCGACAATGCACTCGATCTCGATCGGGCGGCGCCAGCTGACGCCGACAAACTTGACGATGAACGGCGAGTCCATCCTATTTCATCCATCAGTCTACTCCGTGCGTCTCTCGACGCGTACTGGATCATGAGCTTGATCTCTTCGATAAACTTTTGCACCGACTCGACGTGCGTGTCCTTGAGTCGCTTGATCGCGACCTTGTCGTTGCCGTAATGACCGAGCCAGACCTCGCCAAAGGCGCCAGCCGCCAGCGGCTTGGTGGCTGTGACCTTGAGGTCCGCGAGGTCGAGCTTGTGCATGCGCAGCTCTTCGATATTAATAAGGCCGTTCTCGGCCAGCTCGAGCGACGACTCGAGGGTTTGGAAGCCCGTGCCGTTTGCCCGGCGGAGGCGGCCGCCCGTGACCTCGCTTTGGAACGCGAGGAGGTCGGCCGCCGCCGTCTTCTTGCGGCGAATGAGCACTGCGATGAGCAATATCGCAATGATGGCAACGCCGCCAATCGCACACCCGATGATGAGCCCCGTGTCTACTTTTCATAAGACAACTTGTCCACAATGCAACCGTGTCTACCATTTCTGGACACGATAATGGGCGTGGGCGGTGGCAGTGCGTCTACGCGCATCATCAGCGAATCATAGCATGTCGCAATCTGCTTGTCGTACCTGGTACCACACAGACGTAAAAGGTGTGCGGCGACTTGCCGGCCCAGAGCGGTCGCACCGAGCCTTTCAGCGCGGCGCAGGCAGCGGCGTTCACGGAGAAGCCCGTGTCGAACCGAAAGCCTGTGGACTCGACCGTGCTGGGCTCGGTCTCGTTGGCGTTGGGCAGCGCGTTGAGCGCTTCGTACGTCTCGTTGTTGATGCTGAATTCTTGAATCGCACACCCCAAGCACGAGCTACAGCACGCAGCGATGAGCCAGCTTGACATGTGCGATGATAGGTCGCACAAGAACGCGATCGTTTTCGAGAGCCGAATGTTGACGATCGATGTGATCGGGTTCGAACTCAGTTGCCTGAACATTTACATATTCGGTCAGCCTTTTGCGAGAGCAGGAAATTCGGTTGTGTACAAATATTGCATCGTGGTCCAGTCTTGGTCGGCCACACGCGTGTACAAGTTGTCCCGCACGTTCCTACTTCGATATTTAGCGCCATGCAAAATACCAAAAATCATCAAAATCATCAAACGACGTACAAAAACGTGAGGTTGGCCGGCAGGTAGTTGAAGTCGGAGAGCGTATTGTTCTGGATAGCCCTACGTACCATCAGGTGAGCCCATCGATGCAATCCATCATGATCGAGTACAGGTTGATGGTGGTGGATGGCAGGCCCTTGGGAATTGTCTGCAGATTGTTCTTGCGCAAGGTACTTAACACAGCTTGTCAATCCTGGTCCAGGATGAGGCGATCGGCGTACATGGTCCGAAGGTGGTCGGGCCACTGAAACGTCGCGGGGAAAATCTCCAAGTTGGAGTCGAGGACGCCCAGTGACACAAGCGTCGACGGGAACTGCGTCTTGAGCTGCGTAAAGTCGATGCGCGAGATGTTTTGGATTTGCCTACGATCAGAACTTAGCCCATGCGACGACTCTCAAGAGAGCGTACAGCGCCTTGAGCGACGCCGGAAATCTCATGTCCTTCATGACCAGCGACGTCTTGTTGCCAATCTTCCTATACCATCGTCGCACATCGTGAGTCGCCGCATCCTGGCACACGGCGAATACATGTTGACGATGGTCGACGATGAGAGGTCGCCAACCGCGTTGAAGAAGGGCAGCGTCTTGGTCTCTTGGTCGAGTGTGATGTTGTTGACGACGGTGCAGTCGGTCGAGTTGATGATGCACGATCGGCCGACGATCGGGCACGCGGCGTCGGCCGTGTACACGAGCAGGTCGGGCGGGTACGAGCTGTAGAGGCAGGCGACCGCCGCCATCGCCACCGGCGCCATGAGCAGCAGCAGCAGCATGAGCCGCAGGAGTCGGTCGGCCATGATGCTCCAAGTGCGCAAGTGGGCTGCGTCTGGCACCAGAAAGGCAGTGCATCGAACCCCACGTGGCGCGTTCGTTGCGCTGTCCCACTCTCCTTCAAACCATGCGATTGGTTGCGTGTCGCATACATGATTATTTAAATAATTTGGTGTTTGTATGGGATGCTGTATTTTTATTGCTTTTGGCAATGGAGCGATTCCGTACTTGCACAGCAAAGACGATTGTATTACAAGAGTTTGCAGTTTATGATAGCATCACTCTTGTTTTGACACGCTACCCGATACGTAACAAGGGAGTATGCCTCTATTTGCGACCGGCCAGCACCGGCGCGGCCACATGAACGGCTGTGAGCAACCGCTCTTGGTGCAAAACAACGAACGCCCAAGTCCATAAGCTTGTGTGCAACTAAAGACGAGGAAGGTTGGATCTCAATGCATCTACCGGTACTATAGTACAGTGAAATATGAGGGTCGAGTACGTATTGGAACCTGAAGCGATGGGAGTGGGAGGTTGACGTCGAACGATTCGAAGCCAGAGCAGAAAGCGCTCATCAAATGAACCAATCTCTTCAAGAAGCCATCTTGCTCCTACTACCGGTACGGTACGTGCATGGAACGGTGCGAGCATGACGAGCCGCGCGGCGTTGCAGCCGCCACGTTACAGCGCCCAAGATGAGAATGAGAACAGTAATTGGAGTAATTGGCGCCAACCCACCGGCTGCTCCCTCTACTATCGATTGCTGTACCTGTGCACCAGCGCTCGCTCACGTTGTAGAGATTAGGATGATTGACCATAATCCGAATGTGTGCATCCCAGCAACGATGGCGGCGCGTTCATTGACGCCAAAATGGGTGAGGGGTCGCAGCGCTCAAGACAGTGTATTTTACAGTGTTTGGCACCCTGCCAGTGGATTCACTCTTGTTTTCCGACAGCCCTGCGCGTTCCGTGGGCGTCGACCACGGCATTCGCTACATGTACAATTTATGTACATCATCACGGAAAAGACGATATTAACTATTAATACGTCGACGGCCGGTCCTCGGGGCATTCCCTCGTTGCACAGCGTGGAGGCCCAAGATTGCACTTGGTCGAACCGTCGCGATCTTGTACGGATAACGCGTTTCTTATCCGACGGCGACGGCCGCGCTCGCACGATGGACGAGGTCG